AAAAAAAAAAAAAAAAAAAGTCAAAACCCTAGTTAAAAAGCAAATTGCCAAAATCATATCAAATGAAAGCCAAAGCTACGAGAGTGTTTGGATTGACTTTTAAAAAGTAGCTTATAAGCTAAAAGACACAAGCCATAAGTTGGTAATACCCAAGTTTTGGCTTTTGACTTATTTTGTACTTTTCATGCCTAAAAGTAAGTGCTTTTAAGCATTTTTTATCATTGCCAAGCACCACAAAAATTAAAAAAGTGCTTAAAAGCCAATAAACACTTAAAATAAATCAATCCAAACACCCTTTTAGTCTCATTTTCCAGCAAATGAACAATACTATTTCAAGTTCTTCTTAGTTCTTGCCGTCAATAATGGCAACCCCAATAAGAAGAAAGAACTACCACTCCAATTTTAACTTTTCAATATATTTCTAATGTGTTTGCCACAAAGGAAAAAATAGAGAAATTGGTTATTTTGATTTTTAATTGATTGTGGTTATTATCCTCTAAAGTAACTTTTTACTTGCCTTTTATCCCTTCTCCGATTATTTCTGTTTTAGAAATCAATTTTGTCCTTGGTAGTTTTCTATTATGAAGTGTTAGTATTCTAAATTTTGTTTTCTGTTGCAGACTTACAAAAGATAATCCTTCCTTTTTTCACATCATATATATATATATATATATATATATATATATATATATGAAGTTTCTGCCCTCTTGATTGATCTAAAAAAAAGCTTTATGTTTAAAAATATTGCCTAATTGACGAGCTATTTGTAAATGACACCAATTTAGTCACATGCTCCTTACGTTTTGCTTTCCTGTATCTTAGTTTTATTTTTATTTTTTTTAATCTCACTTATATCAATTTCTTTGCATTATAAACTATATCTTTAAAAATCGAAAAAAATCTGCAAAAACCGAACCAAATCGATAAAACCGATAAAATTTATAATGTATTGGTTTGGTTTGGTTTGAATATTAAAAAAATCGCCTTAGTTGGTTTGGTTTAGTTTTAAGCAAAAATCGAGCCAAACCGAACCACGAACACCCCTAATTACAAGATAAATTAAAGAAAAGAATATATCAGGGAATATTAGTTTGATCAATCGCATTAATGTTGAATAGATGGCTAAAGTTATTATAAGTAAATCAAAACAAAAGAGATGAGTATAATACTGTAAACCACATTAGGTGAGCTTGGTTGGGGCAGTGGCAGAGTTAGAATTTTTATTAAGGGGTGTCAAAATATATACATATAAATATACCAAAAAATTAAAGAGAGTCAATACATAGTATACATACATATACATTTATTTTGTTACCAACCTACACAGTGAATTTTTTCTTTGAAGGGGTGTCATCCTATAAGGTGGCTCTTCCACTAGTTGGAGGGGTCATGGCTATGGAAATGCTAAGTTTACGGGGTGACTAGAAAGTTTGAGTAACTGAAAAATTGATATGGTACAATTTTATAAAATATTCTGAGGACACTGGAGATTTAAAGGGAATTGTAATCGGAGATATGATGTACTGTTTGTTTTCCTTTATAGTGGTTTTCACCTTGAGAACATAGATTTGATCGAAGCTCGTTAAATTCTTGCGTAGTTCTTCTTTTCCGTTTGCTTGTTGTGAGATCGTCGGCATAAACCACCAATATTCTGCATAAAGAGAACAAAAGTCATAATAATCTGTAAAAAGGATTTGCCGTAAAGTATCATGACAAAATTAACAACGTTCCACCAATCGATGTTGTGAAAATAAGAAAGTAATAATTTTTAAAAATAAAAATAAAAATACTATTGCCATGGCCAACAAAATAACACAAATAAAAAATGACTGCACCCAATAAGGCAATAACCATCACGTCAGCGACCAACAAATAGCACCACCATTCAGCAGCTACAACCAACAAAGAATAATGACTAACGACGAGGAAAACCCAACATAAGATCATTATATAAGAAGAAGAAGAAGAAAGAAGGAAGCAAGAGATTCAATTATTACCAATCAACATAAGCAAAAGTATCTTTGGATATGTAAAGAAATTTTATTTTAAAAATGTTTTCAAGGACAAGTAAGTTTACTAACTTGTTTGGATGGTTGTTGATATTGTATCGCATTGTATTGTTATCCTGATTGTTTAGTTAAAATTGATTGTATTGTATTGTTAAATTCATTGTTCTGGTTCAATGAAAAGTCCCATTTTTTTAAACAACTGATTTGGTGTGGTGAGATTGTTTCCTATTTTTTTTCCAATTATGCCCTAACTTATTACTTTATAATTCTATTTTACCCTTTACCTTTTATATTTTAATCCAAATCTCCTAACCTATAACCTACGTGTTCATTCATTTTTTCCTTCTGCCGCTTCCAACTCCAACATCAGGTATATGTTTTGCCTTCTTTTTGTTTTGATCTTTCTTCTACTTTGATTTTTAACTCCAATTCTAATTACTTTATCTCTAATTAGCTGCATAGTATTGATTTTTAACTCCGATCCAATTCTAATTATTCTATGTGTAATTCTTGATAATATTTAAAACAACTGAGGGTATTTTAGTAAACTTATCAGTTACAGTACAGTACAATATAACAAAACTAAATAGCAAAATGTTATTTGACAACAACAAACAATACAATCTATCCAAATGTTGTATTCATAAAACGATACAATACAATACGATACATTATAAAACGATGGGTAACAATGATCCAAACAGAGTGTTAATTAAAATATATATGAGCTAGCCAGTAAAGAAATATATTGAAGGAATGAACCATATAAATACCGGTATTTGCTAAAGAGTACCTGTAAATCAGATTGGAAATGAACTCAAGACTGCAGACTTGCAGCCTCATTATTTCAATGCTATGAAAAGACTTTAACATCACATTTGTGCCCATTATCGACTTGTGTTTCTTTGATACCCCTTGCTGAGTCGGCAGCATCTTCACTGCATGATTTTACCTCAATGTATTGCATCTGGATGGTTTAAAATAACAGTAGAAATATATATTTTTAGCATCTTCAAAAAATAATAGCCGATTTTTTTTTTGTATATATGTATAATACATACATATAAGATACATTTTTTATACAACTTTTTGCTAATGAATGCAATTAGTTTCGACCGACAGGTAAATTTTGTATTTTGTCCTAAACAATTGTACTATTCTCGGGTTAGAGCAGGTTTATATCTGTTATGGTCCATTGCAGTTATGGGCTTGAGTCTCACATTTATATTATAATGCATTGATGTGTGGTCTATATAGCTTTGGATTCTCTCATCTCAATAACTAGCTTTTGAAGTGTGGTTCTACTTGGGTTATATCAATGGTATCAAAGCCACCCACCATCTCTGTGCTTGTAATCGGCATTGGTGGTTTGTTATGGTCAAGGTATGAGACTTGAGTTGCACATCGATACTATAATATGCTGATGCGGAGTTTATATAGCCTTGATATCTTCCACCTTAATAGCTAACTTTTGAGGTGTGGTTCTCGTTGTATCAATTTCATGTATTTGAACATAATAATTAGAATAAAAAGCTCCGTAAAGTATTATGACAAATCACCAACTTTCTCAAATCCATACGTTTGAAATTTTAAAAGCACTAATATATTTATTTTATTTAAAAAAGAACTCATACGACTACTATTGCCATGGACCACAATAGTACATCTGAATGCAAAAACAAATTAACACAAAACAGCAATGGCATCAACTAATACCCTCACATCAACAACCAACAAATAGCACCAACCAGCAGCTCGCTGCAACCAACCAGAGAACAATGACCAACAACGACAAAGAATAGCTGCAGTATCCAAAACATAAGGAAATTTTATTCACAAGAGTTTTCAAGGACAACTAATTGAAAGCAATTTAATTTAAATATATATATATGCAAGCTGGTCAGTAAAGAAATATATTCAAGGGAGTATACATGAGGTGATATAAATACCAGTATTTGCTCAAGACTGTACCTTTAATCGGATTTGGAAATGAAACGAAGGCTGTAGACTTGCAGCCTCATTATGCCAATGCTAAGTAAAGACTTTAATGTCACATTTGTACCCATTTTGAACTCGTTTTTCTTTGATATCCCCGACTGAATCCGCAACAACTTTACTGCATGATTTTACTTCAATGTATTGCAAATAACCCTGGTCCTCAAAACAATCAGGGATTGCTTCGAGATGTGAACATCCATGCAAAACCAGTTTCTCAAGGCAACAAAAGGCTTCATCAGACACTTCCCATTTTGAGAGTTTGAGATTTTCTAGTTCCAAGAATTTGAGCTGAGGGAACTCATTGTCTCGCACTTCCCATTCATCCATTTCAAAGGCAACTTGCTGCAGTTTAAGTACCTCAAGGTTGAGAAGGCTGGCAATGGTTGAAATTCCAGCAGGCGGCAAAGGAAATTTGCATAATGTCAATTTCTTGAGATTCATTGGAAAGTTTAATCTTGACGGACCTATCTCTGGTTTGCTGATGAAGACCACCTTTAGTGTTTCAAGTTGAGACAATGAGTCCAATTCAGGGAACCGCTTTTCATTCTTTCCCGAACCCCATGAATCGGCAAAAATACATCTCAACTTCCGAAGATTGGGCGTTCTTCTTACTATCCTCTCCATATTGTCCTCCCTGGAAACATATATTGAGGAAAGCGTTGCCAAATTGTCCAGCTTTGAGGGGTTTTCATCAAGAGATTCTCGTGCACCACGCAAATTAAAAAAAGCACTGTCACTAATGCTTACATTTCTCAACTTACTAAGCTTCCAAAGGGTATCTGGCAACAGTAACTGTCCTCCCTTTCTTTTGACTATGAGCGTTTGAAGATTCCAAAGGCTTTCTATGGATGACGGGATAGAATCCTCAGTAGTTTGAACAGCAAGGTACCTCAGATGATTAAGTTCAGTGGGAAAAGATTTCACATCAACAAACTCCAAATCCAACACCGTGAGAAATTTGAAGTTGCCAAAGATGATAGAGGCATGTCCCATTGAAGAACATGTATTATCACCGACCTCCCTGAATAATATTGAACGAGCGTGTGAGCATCGTCTCCACCCAGCAAGATCATCCTGATTAGAGCAAAATGATAAGCAGCGGTGCACAGGCTTTTCAGAATAAAAATGTGGAGGATTGGCATCTTGATATCTGCAATGATGAATTTAAGCAGGATAAGTAACGAGATAAAGTACGAATTAATCAGAGCTTAGAGAAACATATAAAGAGGTAAATACCTTTTCAGCCACAACAGGAAATTATCCTCCTCAGCCTTTTCCTTGCAGAAATCGAGCATTAAGTCATGGACACGACATGCTTTATTCTTCCCAATAGATCTCTTCTTAGTCACCATGACGAGGTTTCTCCCAATAAGATCCTCTAAGTAATCTTCTGCAATATCCTCCAAACACTTCTCCCCATCATTTTCTATGAATGCCTCAGAAGTCCATAAGCTTGTCAATTTTGAGACTGAAATCTCTCTGTCCTCCAAAAATGCTCCAAAATATAAATAGCATGGTTTCAGTTTATAAGGTAAATCATTGTAACTTAGTTTTACTAGATCCTTGGCGCCATCCTGGATTCGTTCACCGAAACATAATTCCATTTGCGTCCAACATCCTTCTATCCTGTCCATCTTTGTGAGAAGACCAGCCACTAAAACAATGGAAAGTGGTAGCCCATCACACTTTTTTGCTATTTTTTGCCCAACTTCCTTTAGCTGTTCAGGGAAAATTTCTTTTCCAAATACCCTTTTTTGCAATAACCAACTTTCTTGCTTGTTCAGAGGACGTACGAAATGGGGTTCAGTAACACGTTTAGCGCAAACAGCAACTTTTTGAAGTCTGGTGGTCAGAATGATTCTGCTACCATTCCTAGCATCAGGAAAGCATAATATCAAATCATCCCATGCTTTTACTTCCCACACATCGTCAATGATCAGAAGGTATCTCTTTGTCAATAAAATTTTCCGTAGTCTATCAGCTAACTCATCAGCAGCTTCTTTACTAAGTTCAGTAGGGTCACAATTAGAACTCAAAATGGAAAGTAGCAAGTCTTTCCGCGTGTATACCTGAGATACACGACACTCTCCCCAGAAATCAAAATGAGAATCATTTTTGTTAAAACTTCGAGCAAGGGTTGTTTTACCGGTGCCAGCCATACCGACAATGGAAACAACATCTAGCTCTGGTGATACTCGAACTAGTTGACCTCTTATAGTTTCCCTCTCATCGTCAAAACCTATCAATTCTTCATCTGCAGAAGAGGAAGCAATTGTCATTTTCTTTTCTGAGGATTTGGTCAACTCTGTCTTGATAAGCTTAATCTCCCATATGATTTCTCGGAGCCGTACTGTCACGACCCAATTTCACCTATAGGTCGTGACAACATGGTATCAGAGCACTAGGTTCACGTAGGTCTCACAAGTTATGAGCAGGCCTAATTGAGTCTTGTGGATCGGTACGGAGACGTCTGTATTTATCTTCGAGAGGCTATAGGGTGTTAGAAAATTACCTTTCTTCATATTCCATCGTGCAATTGATGTAGTTCTAAATGTCCTTCTCTTATTCTCTCTCAGATGGTGAGAACGCGCTCAAATGAGGTTCCAGACCAGGGAAGAGCTACCCCCAGTTGCTAGAGGCCGAGGGAGGGCTCCAGCCCGTGGTAAAGGCCGAGGACGTCCCAGGACTGTTCCAGTTATGCCGCCAGTGGGTTCAACAGAGAACCCCATTGTTGAGGAACAGGATGAGGTGCCTGTGGCAGAGCCAACTCCGGTGGATTTCACATCTGCACCGGGATTTCAGGATGTCAAGGGTCGTATGCTGCGGTTCATGGACAATATGACTCAGGCCGGTTTATTTCAGGCAGACCCAGCCACATCTCAGGCGGGCGGGGGAGCACAGACCCCTACCGCGCAGGCTAATGGACAGGCAGTTGCTGTATATCAGACCCAGGGTACACTACCCGTGGGTGGAGCCCAACCAGTGGCAGCAGCTACACCTGAGCCCAGGCCAGCTGTAGTCGCTGATCCTCAAAAACTATTGGACAGATGGACTAGACTACATCCTCCTGTCTTTGGGGGTGAGTGACATGAGAATCCACAGGACTTCATTGATCATTGCAGGGACAGACTGCATAACATGAGGATATTAGAGTCTCATGGGGTTGACTTCGCTACCTTTCAGCTAGAGGGCAGGGCCAGTAGATGGTGGTAGTCTTATGTTCTTGGCAGACCAGCAGATTCTCCTCCCATGACTTGGGACAGGTTCGCCCGTATCTTCCTGGACAAGTATAATTCACCCTCCCAGAGGGAAGAGTTGCGGTTTCAGTTTGAGCAGCTCCAGCAGGGTCAGATGTCAGTGACCGATTATGAGGTAAGGTTTTCTGAATTATCTCGCCATGCACTTATGATACTCCCTACTGAGGCGAAGAGAGTGCGGAGGTTTGTAGACGGTTTACATACTGGCATTCAGGCCACTATGGCTCGAGAGGTTGAGATGGGTACTTCTTATGAGCTAGTTGTGGAGATAGCCCGAAGGATTGAGAGTGTGAGTCAGCGGAGCCGAGAGCAGATTATGAGAGATAAGCGGTTCAGGTACTCTAGAGAGTTTAGAGGTGCTCCGTCTGGGGGCAGAGGTCAGTTCGTGAGGGGACAGTCCAGCAGACCCCCATTTCCAGCACCACCACCTCCTCGGGATACCCCAGTGCGTCCTTATCTCAGTGCTATACCAGAGAGTTCTTACCGCCCACTAGCTATTCAGGGTCCTCCCAGTGGGTATTCAGGTCCCCAGGGCCAGACTCTTAGTCAGCAGCCCATCGCACCGAAGAGTTATTACGAGTGCAGGAATCCCAATCACATGCGGAGGTTTTGCCCCAGGCTTTGGGGTAGACCAGTACAGCAGGATCAGCAGCCTATGCTTACCGGACTAGTTGCTCCACTAGTAGTCCGACCACCAAGAGGTGGAGGTTAGCCAAGCGGAGTCCAACCAGTTGGTGCTCCAGCTCGGTTCTATGCTTTTCCGGCTAGACCAGATGCAGAGGCCTCAGATGCTGTGATTACAAGTATTATTTCTGTTTGCGGCAAAGATACCTCAGTATTATTTGATCCAGGATCCACGTAATCATATGTGTCATCTCTATTTGCTCCATTCCTGGGTGTTTCTCGTGAGTCCTTGAGTACTCCTGTTTATGTGTCCACTCCTGTAGGCAATTCTGTTATTGTGAACCGGATCTACCGGTCTTGTATTATTACATTATGTGGTTATGAAACCAGAGCAGATCTCTTATTGCTCGAGATGACCGATTTTGAAATTATTCTAGGTATGGACTAGTTATCTCCATATCATGCTATTCTAGATTGTCATGCCAAAACTGTTACCTTGGCTATTCCATCTTTGCCTAGGCTGGAGTGGAAGGGTTCGTCGGTTAGTTCATTTAATCGGGTTATTTCTTTTATAAAGGCTCAACACATGGTTGAGAAGGGTTGTTTGGCTTATCTAGCCTATGTTCGGGATACTACTACAGAGACTCCGGCTATTGATTCAGTGCCAGTAGTTCGAGAGTTCTCTGATGTATTTCCTTCAGATCTTCCAGGTATGCCACCTGATCGGGATATTGATTTCTGTATTGACTTGGCTCCAGATACTCAACCTATATCTATCCCACTGTATCGCATGGCTCCGAAAGAATTGAAAGAATTGAAAGAGCAGCTTGAGGAGTTACTAGCCAAAGGGTTCGTCAGACCGAGTGTATCGCCTTGGGGTGCACCGGTATTATTTGTGAAAAAGAAGGATTAAACAATGCGGATGTGTATTGACTATCGCCAATTGAACAAAGTTACTATTAAGAACAAGTACCCGTTGTCGCGTATTGATGACCTATTTGACCAGTTGCAGGTTGCCAGCGTGTTCTCTAAGATCGACTTGAGGTCGGGGTATCATCAGTTGAAGATTCGAGATTCGGATGTTCCAAAAACTATTTTTCGTACTAGATATGGTCATTATGAGTTTCTGGTAATGTCTTTCGGTTTAACTAATGCCCCAACAGCGTTTATGGATCTGATGAACAGGGTATTCAGGCCATATATTGATTCATTTGTCATTGTCTTCATTGATGACATTTTGATCTACTCGCGCAGTAAGGAGGAACATGAGCAGCATATGAGAGTAGTGCTTCAGACATTGCGGGAACAAAAGCTATATGCTAAGTTCTCTAAATGTGAGTTTTGGCTAGAGTCTGTAGCATTTTTGGGACATATTGTATCGGGCGAAGGTATTAAGGTTGATCCCAAAAAGATTGAGGCAGTTCAGAATTGGCATCGTCCCACTTCGGCGACTGAGATCAGGAGTTTTCTGGGTTTAGCAGGTTATTATCGTCGGTTCGTGGAAGGTTTTTCATCTATTGCAGCACCTTTGACCAAATTAACCCAGAAGGGTGTTCAGTTCCGATGGTCCGATGATTGTGAGGTGAGCTTTCAGAAGCTCAAGACAACATTGACCATAACGCCAGTGTTAGTGTTGCCTTCCGGTTCGGGGATGTATACAGTATATTGTGACGCTTCACGCGTTGGCTTGGGTTGTGTATTGATGCAGGAAGGGCGAGTTATTGCATATGCTTCACGTCAGTTGAATCCCCACGAAAGGAATTATCCGGTACATGATTTGGAGTTAGCTGCGATTGTTCACGCTCCTAAGATTTGGAGTCATTATCTTTATGGGGTAACCTGTGAAGTTTATACTGATCATCGTAGTTTGCAGCATTTGTTCAAGCAGAGGGACCTAAATTTAAGGCAGCGCAGATGGCTGGAATTACTAAAAGATTATGATATTACTATCCTATATCATCTAGGTAAAGCAAATATAGTTGCAGATGCCTTGAGTAGAAAGGCGGAGTGTATGGGTAGTTTGGCTTTCATTTCAGCAGAAGAGAGGCCATTAACTTTGGATATCCAGTCCTTGGCCAACAGACTTGTGCGGCTAGATATTTCAGAGCCCAGCCGAGTTTTTGCATGTGTCGTAGCTCAGTCTTCACTATTTGAGCAGATCAAGGCTCGTCAGTATGACGATCCACACTTAATGGTTCTTCGAGAAACGGTACTATGAGGTGGTGCCAAGAAAGTTACTATTGGTGCGGATGGTGTTCTACGACTCCAGGATTGTCTGTGTGTTCCTAATGTGGATGAACTGAGGAAAAAGATCCTGGAGGAGGCACACAGTTCTTGGTATTCTATTCATCCAGGTGCTACGAAGATGTATCGTGACTTGAGGCAGTATTATTGGTAGCGAGAAATGAAAAAGGACATAGTTGAGTATGTAGCTAGGTGTCTAAATTGCCAACAAGTTAAATATGAGCGCCAGAGGTCAGGTGGCCTACTTCAGCAGATGACTATACCAGAGTGGAAATGGGAATGAATTACTATGGACTTTGTAGTTGGGTTGCCGCGGACCTTGCCGAAGTTTGATGCAGTTTGGGTGATTGTTGACAAGTTGACCAAGTCAGCACATTTTATTCCTGTTGTGACTTCGTATACTTTAGAGAGGTTGGCCCAGATTTATATTCAGGAGATAGTTCGGTTGCACGGTATGCCAATTTCCATCATATCAGATAGAGGCCCTCAGTTTACTTCACTTTTCTAGAGAGCAGTACAGAGTGAATTAGGGACCCGTGTAGAACTCAGCACAACCTTTCATTCGCAGACCGATGGGCAGTCAGAGCGGACAGTTCAGATTTTGGAGGGTATGCTCAGGGCATGTGTGATTGACTTTGGAGGTCAGTGGGATCGTTTCCTGCCTTTGGCCGAGTTTGCTTATAATAAAGTTACCAATCCAGCATCGATATGGCTCCATTTGAGGCTTTATATAGCCGTCGATGTCGTTCACCTATCTGATGGTTTGAGCCCGGTGAGGCTAAGTTATATGGTACTGATTTAGTAAAGGATGCCTTGGAAAAAGTAAAGTTGATTCAGGAGCGACTTCGTACAGCACAGTTCAGACATAAGAGTTACGCGGATCAGAAAGCGCGTGATTTATCATTTATGGTAGGTGAAAAAGTTCTCTTGAAGGTTTCGCCGATGAAAGGAATTATGAAATTCGGGAAGAAGGGCAAGTTGAGCCCAAGGTTTATAGGCCCATTTGAGGTGTTGAGACGAGTTGGGGAGGTTGCTTATGAGCTTGCATTGCCTCCCAGCCTATCGGGAGTTCATCAGGTTTTCCATGTATCTATGCTCCGGAAGTATCATGCTGGCCTATCACATGTGTTGGACTTTAGTAAAGTTCAGCTAGA